AATCCACATCATCGTCGTCGTCATCCTCGACCGCAGAGGTCTGAAATTCAAATTTTATGCTATTTATAAGGTCAAGCATCAAAAATGATAAACACACTTATAATCAATGTAAAAACACACTTATAAACACACTTTGTTTCGATGATGTTTAAGACTTATCATACGAAATTTAAGGCCTTTAACAAGGGTTCAGGATAATTATTAAGCTCAAATGAAAGTAATGTGGCAAAGTATAAGAAGAATTAAATATCAGATGGGCTTTACAGAAATGTGATCAAAATCTGATGGAAATGCAATTGAGTTGAACAAGTTTTCGACTTATAGAGGCTGTGGGAGACCATTGATGTCATTATATTTGCAATTCTTTCTCCTCTTCAAGTAAATATTCAACTATAACGAAAGTAATATATTCATAATTCAGATGACTTGTCATGCCATGCGATGGTATTATACAATTATGATTATGATGAAAAACACGTTCATTTATGACTAGATGATTTTAACCATCTACACATTTAACTAAAGTAACAATACCAGGTTAAACTAGCATACCATTTACCACTGCTTAGCCATATGAGCTCTGTCGGGAAATTGGGAGTTCACGTGAAACCTTGGAGGCTTTTTCATCAGGAGTTACTTTCTTTATGCCGGTCGGCTTCCTCAACGATGTAGGTGGAAGCAGAGAACGGGAACTACATCTTTGTTGGGGCATCTTCTCATCCTCTGCTGCAGGTATGAGGGGTTCGTTCAAAGAAGGTAATATTTCAGGAGTATGTCTCCGAGTAAGTGACGAGGAAAGAAATGAGCTGCCAAAGCGTGACAATGTTGGCATCCCCATAAAGTAAAAGACTTGGAGATGAGACACTGCCGTATAAATCGATTGCCAGTAACAAGTATCATCAATGGAATGTGAAGCTTGATATGAAACAATGCAAACTAAAAGCCACTTGCAAGACAGCTGAGATGATAGATGGTGATTAAGACAGCTCAAAGCCACTTGCAAGACAGCTTCTCTAATGAGCAATTGATAGGTCTTAATCTGAGGTAAGAAACTTATTGTAACCGATTGATGATGAATTAATGACAACCCCAAGGCAGAAATTTCAATTAGGTAATTGTCAGCAGCCCTTAGATAACTATCCTCGGGCCTACAAATCTTTAAACGGTGGACTGCTGTTTTACCCATTCTATCTGTGCTCTCATTTTCGCATCCGGCTCAGTATTACCTGTCTTTTCCTCCCCCTACTTGTTCTATATAGAGTTTTAAATTATCCATTCCCTTCCCAACTCCTCCATTACCCTCATATAGAATGCAACCTTAAGAAAAGACAACACATTTCTTGTTACCTGATAAGAGTAATGAGTGTGCAAATCAACTGAAGACATAAAACAGGTTTGCGTCGGATGTGTCTGCAAAATTATGGCTGAAAGGAAATTCATAATGAAGCAAACCAACCTTCTCCAGAAAATAGGGAAGGGAAGCAGCATGGTCCAAGTGAAAGCTGCACTCAGAAAGCAACTTATCAGAATAGAATACGAAACAAATTCAGAGAAGAAAAAGAATCACAAATGTTAGAAACAGCAGACTGAATAGTGTTATAATAAGCTGATCATCATCTCTCATTGCAGATTGCTTTGAGGTTGATGCTGGTTGTCCTGTTGAAGCCATTGCACTTGATAACCCAATACCAAACTTCTTTTATCAAATACTTATTCTCTCTGCAGAGAGAGAGAAGAAACAAATGCCCAAAAACTCATTAGCCAGATCTAAAGCTACGATTAAAGCTTCAACAAAATAAAGTTCAATCAAGACTGAAGAAACATAAGGAGAATGCCAAAAGAAAAAAAATAATCATCAATTGCAGAATAGCAATCCTTTCTTTCAATCCTTAAACTGTATTATCCTTTATATTTTTTATCTATCACATTCAATACATTTAATGAAGGGACGAGAAGCGCAGAAAACGGCCATAAAGTGTACACTGCCTATAATAAATCATGTCAAAGCAAGGGTATTTTCTACTAAAACAAATTTGGCACAAAGCATCCCTTCTTTATTTTATGCCAGTTTTAGTTAACCTGCAAAAACCAAGGGCCAGGGAACATTTAGAATAAGATTTAACGAGCCATTAGAACCATGAAGTAAACTTTACATGTGAACGGATATAATTACACACAGAATACAATGGCCAAGATGTTCATCTCTTTTGTTGTTTGTGCAAAATGGAACTACGAAATCCAACAAGGATGTGAAAGAGAGAGACTTCTGTAAAAACCAATATAGCTCTTAGGTATATATAAGTAAAATACACGAACTAGGTCGAAAACCTTAGATCTAAACCAAAGATATCCGGAAAAAGTCAATAGTGAAGTCACATAAATTAATCGCACAAGAAATCATTTTCACAGTAGAATGAGTCAGCAAACACAACCGCAAGAACTCTATTCCAGTTCTCAAATTTCACTGTATCAACCAAAACAAACTCTAATCCTCCAAACGCAATTTATAAATTGTAAAGCTACAATTGAGAACCAACACCACAAGCTCAAACCAATACACAGAATTCTCAAGTTTAAACAAATTAAACACCATAAAAATCTATCCCAATCCACTTCCAAATAATAATATAGCAATCAAAGTAACCAACCTTTAACAAAAATTCTAGAAGCCAACTCAAAAACTAAATCCTCATATTGATATCACAAGTGCAACCTAACAAACCCCTTCATTTCTTGGATTTCGCACCACAAAAATCCTAACTTTTATTAAAAATTATCGATAAACACAATCTGAACCCGAATCTCATTGTCCACTGATTAAACCACATCAACCAAAGCAAACTCCCTATGTCACCCAACCTACATGAAAATAAATAAATCCACATTTCATTCAAAAAACAATAAACAACCACTGCCCAATTCCAATCATATTATACAACACAGCCCAAAATTGTACAAGCCCACATAGTAAAAAATTTCTAACATAGCAATAGGATAGGGAAGAAATATACAAGGAAAGAAAAAATAAATTTCTATACACATTCACATCATAATCAATAGCAGCAACCGTAAACTAGAATTACTAAACATAAAAATGGCACAACTGTTAAGCTCATGAACATCCAAAGCGTACAAATAACAGCAAAAACAGGTGAGAAACCAAAATTATTGGATTCGAACAACGGTGAAAGACCATGTCGGACAAGCACGCATTAGAAAATCGAAATTTTGTACAAAAATGAATGAAAATGGCAAAAACCCAGAATTATTGAGCACAGATATATTGAAAAAGGAGTTGTTTCATACCATAAAAAGGAGGAAAGCAAGATTAAGTGGGCTAAAGAGAGGAGCCCAATGGGGACCCAGCAGTGGCGGCACTGGACGCCATTAGACTGGGATTGGGCGAGGAAAACGAGGCCCAAAAAGAGGTAGAATTATGGATGCCTTTATGGCATCCATAATGTACAAGTAGCACCTCTCTTTTCAAAAAGAATTAATCTATGTGTACATAGGTGTATACAT